GACAAAAATATCATGAAATAAACTGATTATATAGTTGGCATCTTAATAATTTCAGGATTGTAACAGTTTTCTTGCCAGATTTTGACAAAGGGGAAGTTATAGCTCAATTTTTCTGTTATTTTTAGTAACATTTACTTCCAGCTACTATTATAAATTAAAAAGACATTTACCACAAGAAGAGTTAAAACCTTTTATTCCTTATATGTCATTTTAAGTTCCTCAGAGATAACTCCACAGACTACTTAGTTAACATAAACTACAAGCTATTAATATTTGTATTATACATCATTGAATAATCATCCAGTGATGGGCAGTATTGAAGTGCTACAAATAATCTACAATATTTTTTCAAACTGATTTTAACAAATTCTACCTTGGGGAGAAGCATTCTCCAATGTAATTTGTCGGAAGACATTCCTTTATCCAGGAAATAAGTGCTGGTGTCTCTCTGGGATCTGGAGACACAGTCAGAGAAAGTGCTTTTGTCAGTGTATTTTTCATACACTGCCTCCACTCTTCTGACATGTGATGTCTGCTTTTCAATTCTTGCTTCTGCTAAAAGTGATGTTTGCCTCCCCCGACTCATACTAGGCCACAAAAGTCTTAAAGCCACTCTGGCTCTACACAAGATTAAGAATAATGGACGAACATACATCTTTAAACAGTTTATGTGACATATGGCACATGAGATAAAACACACTAGTGTCAATGCCTTTTATAAAAATTATGTCTCCTTTAAGGTTCCATAAAATACTTGACAGCACAGAATAGACCTGACTATTACTTTTATCACAATTCCTTTGGTCATGGGGCAAGTATGCTCATGTTAATTGCTTGATAGCTTGTTCTTATATTAGGCTATGTTTTATACAACCATAGGTTGTTTGTAAGTCTTCTAAAGTCAAAACAAAAAAGCAAGCAACTTCCACAAAAAACACACACACACACACACACACACACACACACACACACACACAAAGACTCCCACCTTCTCCTTGAATTCTTTGCTGTGATCTATTTTAAAAGACCCATGTTTGACATGTGTGTGACCAAAGACTAGAAGCTGCTGGAAGTGTCATCATACACTGAAAACATAGGTTCACCTTCTTCTTGAAATTGTGCAAACTTAGACTTCAGATGGAGATTACAATGATAAAACAATGAAATTAGCCCAGAATGTACTTTTTCTAAGGGAAGGTAGTTTAAAACAACTGCATATACATACACGTTAATGGCTAAATAGAAGAAACGTTGTACTATTATTTCTACAGTGCAAACTGTTTGACAGTTACATAGCACAAAACTGTGGTACAACTTCTTTTAAGACATAACACAAATGGGTCTTCCTTCAAATCATATCTTCCAGCTAATTATTTAATTAACCTATTTATTTATTTTTTAATGGTTCTGAGTCTAGAGGTTATCCTTGAGTGCTTCGGCTGTTAGCGAGATCATGCAGGGTCTGAGCTTACATCTCTGACCTCAGAACTGCTTTCACATTTCAGGTTAGCTACAAAGAAGCCAGGCACAGCTGGAAATGACCTTACCTTCTCAGTGCCACACTTACTCCTGGACTTAGCACTCCTCTGACACCTTGCTGAGCTGATTAGCTGAGCTGTTAGGAGACATTTGAGAATTGGCAGCCGTTTTCCAATCATGGGAATGCAACACTACTGTCAAATAGTGATTATTTTTCTGCTACTTCCTTGAATTAAGCATGTTCCTCACATCCCAAGGGTGAAAGGTGGGAATACAAGATCTCTTTCCTTCAAAGTGTATATATTAACCTGCCAGGGGTTGGAATGTCTGTGTTTCATAGGAGAGCAAAGAGCGACCATGAAAACTTAAGTTGTACAATACTGAAATGCATGTTCAGTTCTGTGGAAATAATTTGATTATGCTTTTAAGGAAATACTCTCTGTTTTTCTAGGAGTTTAACCTTTTCCTTTTTAAAACAGCTTTCTCAATAATTAACAATTGAGCAATATTGTATAATATTTAAGGGTATGAATGCTAATGTTCCCCTGCCTGAATAAATCCTGCTTATGGTTGTCTAACTCTTTGATGCTGGACACAGTTTTAACTTTTGATTACATCATTTTTCCATGAAATGGGTGACTACCGCCACGTAAAAACTTGTTAGAGATAATAGAATAAGAACTGTATAGAACCCAGTCTGTTTTTCAAAGACTGCAATAATCTCTCAAGAAGTAATTTATTCAAAATTAGTGGACCAGTAATTTTGTGTCTGAACACTTAGATCTGCAGTCTCACCACCTACATTTCCTTATCTTCCCAAAGACCTTGAAAAATAGGCTTGTTAATATTCTAGTCAAAAGGACACTTCTCACAAAGCCACCACCAATAGTTAGAATTCCGTCAATTATGGGTGAGATTTTTATAGCATTCTACTTTAAGATGAAAAGACAAGATAATCTGATGGCTACAAGTAGGGATAATCATATTGAGGGAAAGAGAAAGAGGCAACTGCAAAAAAAGTTTGGAAAAAAAGAGCAAATTACGACGACACATGTATCTAGTAAAGGCTTAAAAAAACAAGTGACAGTTGAGCCTGAGTTGAACAACACTGTGCTACAGTCTGGTCTTTTGTTTGACTCTAGTTCAGTTCAATCTTATGACAATATTTAGCATTCTTTTTCTGCTTTAAAGGGCAAAAATTGCAAACATGTTGGCTTATGAAATACTTCCTACCTTAGTAAATGAAACTTGAAAATGTGCAAGAGAAATATGCCTTTTAGGCTTTGCAAGCAAATAAAAACTAGAAGTCAATATTCTCTGAGCTTCTAATGAATATTATCATATATATGATGTAATTCCTGCTATATATTTCACTTTAGATGCTAAGAATATAGTCACTATGTAGAATCATAGTTTCTGAATAAGCTAATTTAAAGTAGACCATCCAGCAGCAGAAAATAACATAAGCTACAAATATGAGCTGTGTACCTAATTTTAATTTTCTAGTATTCAGATTAACAAACTGCAAAAGTAAACAAAAAATATATGCATATGTATGTACCAATTTATTTAAATAAGGGTCACATGTCAACATGTAATAAACATAGATATGTAGATATCTTTGGTATGAAGTAATAAAAAAATATAAGCTAAAAGGGGTTCACATTTTGATAACTACTTCGGAAATTTGAAACAAACATCCTAATTATTGCCGATGGCTGCCATGTTGGATTGGATGATGAAAGTATAAATTAGTGCTGTATAAGCATTATCCTGTTCAGAATTGAAAGAGGTGATAAGATACTAATAATTTTTAATTTGTCAGATGAAATGGTCAAAATCTGAAAGAAACTACATACAATATCACATCCTGCTTCAATTTCTGCTTACATGAGTGCACATATAGGGCACACCCAGAGGAGATGTCTTGTACTCGGCCCACCTCATGTCTTATCCCACTCATGGTAATGTGTTCCCACATCAAATGTTTAAATTAGAATGTTTCTGAATAGTACTTAAAATACTGTGATATCTTAATTATCTGTAATTGAGTAATTTGGGGGCTGAATTATAGTTTCGTGACTGATAAATTGCCTTTCTGTATTCACACACAGACACATACACACATTGCACAATATTATATATATATATATTATGTTATATAGAATATAACATAAAATTACCCTGGCTAAGCCAATACTTAGTTTTCACAATGCAGGCCTGCTGCTATACATTTACCTCTTATCATCAGAATGAGCCATATCTATTTACACGTTGATATACTTTGGTATTTTTATTTGATATTTTGTTAATTTGCCTCCTATTTCTAAATCCAAGGCAAAGATTGTGTGTTCCTTAATACCAATGCTTATACATTATTGCTAGGCAGAGATGATTATATTAAAATTCACATTGTATTTCTTTTTATTTTTGATGCAGTGTATATGTGGGTTTGTGTGTGTGTGTGTGTGTGTGTGTGTGTGTGTTTTGTATGTATGCACATACACAAAGGCGAGGACTTCCAATTTTGTTTACATTTTCTGTTAAGAGAGCCCCTGGAATGTGCCTGCCTGCCAACTTTCCTCTGAGGTGACAGGACAGAATGCCACAATAACTTTTCTGAGGGTTTTAGTGATATAGCCACAGGTCCTCACTCTTGAGCAGTGGACATTTTACTTACTGAACATTTCCTATCACCTAAAATGCTTATAATGAGAAAATGTTACAAGCTCCTTTCACTTAAATGCCTAGTAGACTTTTTATTCAACACAATGCCATTTCTTTTTCCTGCGAGATGTACAGCATATATAAAATAATTTCCCACGCATTCAGTGTTTTTGATGTACAAAGTATAGAGAAATCTATCTTCTTTTTAAACATAAAATGTAGAGATCTTGTAACATGTTACCTTCTCTTAGTCATTTCTATTGTATGATATCTTTTTTTACTTGACCATTCTCAAGCTCAATATTATGATCCTTTCAACTTTCTAACCTCAGAAGGATTATTAAAATAATTTCTTTTCTTTTTCTTATCCAAAGTATTTGTTCATAACCTTGTGTATTTAGCTCTGACCAGAACATCTTTGTGAACAGTTGAAGTTCCCTTTTGTTAGCATTACCTGGGATGGGAGAGGACATGCCATTGTCTGTTGAATGCTATAATGAAGAGTTTAGATGCTTGAAATGCCCAGGATAACTGTATAGAAAAACTGATACCCAAGCAGGATGAACTAAAATGCTACTCTAACTCAGTAATTTGCTCTTATAATATTAATTTATTTTCTCATTAGGGTGATCATTAAATAAAAATGTGTTATCCTTGTTTATACTATACTATTTGCTTTGCTGTCACTGATAATTTCTAAGTATGCATAAAAATTAATATAATTAATCAAAACTAACAGTTTGAAGAAAATGTACCTTTCATAAATTAATAATTTTTAAAACAATAGTAGATGTAATGATAGATTCTAGGAAAGTTTCATAAACTTCATGTATGTTTGTTAATCTCTTTTGTAGGTCTCTTTAGATGGAATGTAATAGAGCAGAGGCCTCCAGAGCATCAATGTGTGAATTACAGTCGATCCAGTAAAACGGCAAGCTCAGTGGTCACAGCCATAGACACCTCAACCCTGGATTCCACGACTCTACATTAAGCATTGGAGTATTTATTACTCTACTGTGGGAGAAAGTTTTTGCCAATGCTTACAAGGAACTCTTTATGCCTATTTCTGTGGATCCTGTTTGATGGAGGTCTCCTAACCCCACTTCAGCCACAGCCACAACAGACTTTAGCTGCAGAACCAAAAGAAAATGTTATCCACCTTCCAGGGAGACGATCCCATTTCCAACGGGTTAAACGTGGCTGGGTATGGAATCAGTTCTTTGTGCTGGAAGAATACATGGGCTCCGAACCTCAATATGTGGGAAAGGTAACGCTGTGTTTCTTTTGACAACATTTGATAGGAATGGGGAACTGTGTATTGTGCATGGATGTCTTGCACAGGAGTTAACAATGACTAGATCACTGTAATTGAAATCCATAAGGCTTGGTTTCTCTTCCTGGCTCTAGCCTGGTAAGCCTTGCAATATCCCTTCCCCCCCTCTTTGCTTCTATTTTCTAGTTTCCACATTGTAAATAGATCCTGCTGATAGAAAGCCATGAGCTTAGTTTAAAGAAAACTATAAACAAAATTTGAAAGAATAGCAATAAAATAATTTTTACTAAGTATAGAAATAGTGAAATTTGATCAATGTTTAATTTCAGATTTGAAAACCTATCAACAAATTAGAACATGAAAGAATGGCCAGAAAGACATTGAAGCCCGAAGAACAGGTTACTCTTAGTGCTTACACTAGTGCACTAGCCTCAAGGGAACTCTCAGACACCTTTGAGGATGTAACTCTAGAATACAGAAATTTCTGAGTGTAGAGCACAATGCTGATGTTATACAATCCCTCAATCTTATCATATAAGTCTAACAGTTAACATAAATAGTTTAGGTTATGATTATTTCATGCCACTCTTATTTATTTATTTAATAGAATTAGAAATTTGGGGTAATATAAGAAGAGTATGTCCTTCAAACTCTGTTCCACAGACAATTATTTTAGCTCTGCTTATGCCTTCTGACATCACCTGAAATTTCATATCAAAGGATTCAATAGAGCATCATATTCTTAGTTTTTGACACAGATACATAGAATTTAGTTATCCAACCTGCAGGTAATAAAACAAAAACACTAAAAAATTGTGAAGATTGCTTTTTTTTTTTGCATTTTCCTTGTTCAAGTAGAATTTCCCCTCCCAGAATATGCAAATGATATAGATCTAGGGTTTTGATTTTGAAAACTATTGCTTGAGATTTTAGAATTTCATCTTTGGAATTGTAATGGCAGTATGGAATTCATCTGATTGACTGAAGAATAAACCACATGTAAATTGGATTTAAAAGGAGTATGTCTAATATCTAATCTATTGCATCTAAATATAACCATTGTCTATAGGTATGTGACTTTACATTGTGATAGGTGCTAAGAATGCATGGTTCTCATACTGGATGCATTTCTAATATAATGAATCATCAGTCGCCAATATTTCCTTTCCACAATAAAACAAAATAAAGTTTAATTAACTCTATGCTGATGATTCTGGAGTTGGGAATAGAATTATGACAGCACAAAGATTAATTCAGGACATTGTATCCATATGTTTAAAGAGACATAAATATATTACATACCTTCTCTTTCTAGAAAAAGCATTGAGACTGCTTTTAGAAAGGTTAATTAGTTCAGGCAATACAGGATTCAGGAGTAAGGAAAAAATGTAAAGCTGAAAAATACAATGGAGAGTGGCCCACTGACTGCTGTCAACAAGCCTCAAATTTGGGATTGTTTCTTTTTAGAAAGAACATAAAAAAGAAAACATAATTATCAGATTTCTTCAATTGGAAACTGCTTTTTTTGGTGAAATATTGAGTTTAACATACCTTTACTCCAAAATGGTCTCTCATAATTTAGTCAGTTGAGAAACTGGCATAGTTTATATGCCATAAACATTGGTATGGACAACTTTACTTTTTTTCCTTTTTTAAAATTCAAATGAGAAACAACTTACTTCACATGTCAAGCCCAGCTCCCTCTCCCTCCCCTTCTCCTCTGCCTCCTCAAACCCCCACAACTTTACTTTTTTACTAATTTTTTATTTTAATTTTAGATAGCTTGTTTTACATGCCAATGTTAGAAGATACTGTGGTTGGCACCTATTCAAGGGAAATCATATTATGGTATTGATTATAATGAATATTAGTTTATTTCTTTTCCAATAAGACAGAGGGATAACCAATGATAATGGCAGTCCTTCCCTCAAAATAGCTTTAATTTAATAAAATATCCAGGTGAAATATAAGATTACTTTCTATGATATAATATAGATATCAGTTTTATTAGCAAAATACATTTTAAGACTATATCATTTACAGTATAAACAAAATGAAAGGAAAACAATAAGAACAAAACCTTTGAAATATACACATTAGCACATAATTACTTGGGTTTGCATAAGTATTAGTAACTGCATTCCTATAAATCTGTTTTGAAATAGCCTTGGTGTATGCTCCAAAAAACACTGCACATTTAATCTCACAGAAATTATTGACTTGTAATTTTTATAATTGAGATGGACTGCAGCTGACAGTATTTCTTCAATTTGTATTTTCCAAATGAAATATAGAAAATTCAATCTTGTGTAGACTGCTTTCAAATGCATCACTTTTTTCTGACATATTTTTAATACAGAATGCATTATAACTTGACACAGTATTAAGTCATGTGGGTTAAATGGAAATATGAAGGTGCCCAGGTTGCAATTATAATAGGTAAAATTTATTAAATGCTTCCTTTGGGCACCATTTTAATTGCTTTAGATAAACTTGTATAACCTTCAAAATGGAATTATGAAGGATTTTATTAGTATCTGTATTTTGAAAACCAAGAAGATAAAAATAATGTAAATTTGTGAATGGACAGAATATTTGAAAGCTTATGTTTTAATTCAAATAATCTGTTCCATTGTACTACAAATTTTTCTCAAGTGCAAAATTTTAGTAATTTCTATAAGTAGTACAAAAGATATATTCTTAGTGATCATATTGATATAGGAAAGGATGTGATTATAAGCAGAACATTGAGGAATTCAAGAAAGTATTCATAGATGTGAAAGAACCTGAGATAAGTCTTGTAAGATGATTTTTTCCCAGTAAATATAAAATACAATGAGTACGTGTAAACCTTGAGTTTTCAAAGACAATTTTGATCCTAGAGAGCCATAGTTTAGAGCTTTCAGAAATGTGAACCAAGTTTTAAAAGTATGGAATTACAGAAATATAGAAAAGGTTCAATTTTGATGCACAGGCAAGCAGTATTGTTCTCATAAGAATCATGCTTAGAATATTAGCACGGATAGAATTTCATATAAACTGAAGACTTAACAAAGTCATAGGTGTACCACAACACGAACAGAAACATTAACCTTTTCCCCAGGAGACTGTGTAAAATACTTGGGTATATTGGACATTTTCCAATAACTGGCAATAAATGCTGGTGAGGATGTATAGAAAAGTGAATTCTTCATCACTGTTGGGGAGATTGCAAATGGGTGAAACCAATGTGAATATCAGTGAGCCTTTATCAAAAGCTAAAAGTAGAACTACCTTGTTACCTAGCTATAAAACTCCTTAGCGTATTCCCCAAAGACCCTACTATAGAGACACTTGTCACCCATGTTGTTTGTGACTTTATTCATGATGGCTATGAAATGAAAACCACCTTCAATTGATGAATAGATAACGAAAATGTGGTATGTATTCACAAAGGAATTGTATTCAGATGTAATGAAAATGTAATTTTTATATAGATAGAGCTAAAAATATTATACAGAGTAAGTTAACGCAGACAGGATTACAAGGAGAACATGTTTGTTCTTAGGTGTCCTTCATGAGTTTAATTCTTTATATAGAAGTGTATATAACCTGGAGGAATCATAGAACATGGGTAAGTAAAACAAGGAGTATGTGAAGTGGGGGTGGACACAGAAGCATCTCTAGAGAGGAGGACTTGTAGGTCATATGTGCTATAAATGAGGAAATGGCAAAGAAAACAGGAACTAGGACATTAAAAATAGAGAAAGGAAAACACAAAGGAAAAGGGAGAGATAAATTACAGATTTTGTAAAATCAAGAGTTTAATCTCTCATGTTTATTAAAATAATTATGCTTCATTTATAATTATATGTATATATACATATAAATATATTTTAAAAGAATTCTGTAACATGGAGCCTAGTGCTGTTTCTAAGAACCATGCTTCAGAATTCTATTTAAAAATATATATATATATGCACATTTCCATAGTATCAGAAGATGCTATGCAAGTTCCTAAGGGAAGAAAACATTCAATAGTTCTTCCAAGATATAATATCTGTGGGCTACAACAATGACTACAAAGCATCTCCAGTGGGACAATCCGGAAATATTTAATTTGCATATAACCATCATCTGTTTTTTTTTTTTTTTGGTCTTTCAATAGAAAGGAATTCATGGCCAGTGCTTTAAATGTAGCCAAGTAACGACTTGTAGCTGGAAATGTCATGAACTTTAAAGAATAACCAACTACTTCCCTCTTTAAAAACCAGCATAATTTTTAAATGAATTTTATTATCCACTTTCTAATCCTGTGTCCTTATATCTAAAGATAAATGCTGCTTTCACTTCCTTTTAAGAAGTTTCTTTTTGCATCAGGTGGATACTATTACAGAAATTTATTGCTGATGAAAACTAATAACTGACTGCATTTTGCCCATCCACAATGGATCCATGTACAATGCAGTTATTATACCCAAGGCTCTGGAAGCAAAAAAAGCTAAAGATAGAATGATGATAAGAGTCAGAGATTCAGGAAACTTGCTTTGAGATAACATCTTTTACACAAAACATGAAGGCTTTGTATAGGAAATTTATCAACAATATTGTCTGAAGAAAATCCATAAAACAGCAACACCAATAGGCATGGAAATATGGATAGGAGAAATTCCACCGTGTCCCTTCCATAAATGAAGAGCTAAGAAACTCATTTGCTACTGAGAAATCTAGAATCAGACTTCAGCAGAGATTAATCACCCATAAATTATCCAATCCCAGACTATCAGTCTTAAAAAAGACATATGAATAACACTAAATGATAAAGTAGCAAATTTCTATAGTTGACCAGTCCTGGACCCCTATGTAAATTTCCACCTACTGAAAAAAAAGCTTCTATAATAATGGGAGATGAACTAAACTATGGGTATAAAGATATAAACCCAATTCACAGCCCAGAAACACACTTAATGCACAGCTACCTTGCCTGGATAAATGTAGCTTATTCCTCTTTACAG